TAATTTTTACTAGAGTAGTGACAGAAACTACATAGTAAAACCTGCCAGGATTCACTTGACAGGGTGTTCCAACTATTTCAAGAAGTGTTCCAAGTACAACTCGACAAGCTCTATCGATTGGTCACTTTGGAATTACCAATATCTTAAACCATATCTCTGGAAGTCGTGAAATACTAGGCCTGTTTAATTTAGTTACAGTAACTACTCAGTAAAGCTTGCCAATATTGGTTCAGTAAAGTCTTCCAACTATTCTAACTACAGATTCAAGTGTAATTTGACGAGCGCCAGCTCTATCGAATGGTATCGTTGGATGTTAGATAGCAGAAAGTATATAATCATGAACACCAAAATATATGTATTGTAGGGTAGGAGTCAAAAACCCACTTTAGTAAAACTTGTTTAAACTCGCTCAGGAAATTATTTGACGATTCGTAATCCAGTTCCTAGTGCAATACATTAAGCTGTATCTAGTTGTATGCTCAGTGTATAGAATGCAAAATAAATTAAATTGTTTTCTTCCTTCGAAATAACTAACCTTGAAATCAAATGTTCTATCAGTTGAGAATAAAAGTTCGGCTTTTTTCTTGGTACGTGACTCGGTTGATCGTGCGGATTATGTTACTGATAATGAACGACAGGGAAGAGACTGAGTCGATAAAAGAAATATCCGAATTTGTAGCATTAACTCATTGAAATAATGCAATTTGTTTCAATTGATTTTGTAACAGAAAAATCGACGATTTAGGTTTGAAGAATATTATTTTTAAAATTTGATTCTGTAAAATACTCTAGATGAACAATGTTTTTTCTAGAATTAGAATTAGGCTTGTTTTATTCTTTCTAATGTTAGAACATTCTATATTAAATTAACTCTATCTTTTCTTAATTGAATGTATAAAATTAATTCTCGCTTCTTTTTTAATAATTTTTTAATTTCATAAAATAAAGATGTACATAAAATATGATTGTTTAAATTATTTAATGAAATAGATAAAAATAAAATAAAATAATTGAACCAATTTTTGATAAAATATTTAATAATATAATTATTTGAGCAAAATAGGATTAAACAAACAAAAATAATATATATATATATATGGTGATTATCGAATTGTTTGAAACAAAAATAGAATAAGATAAAATAAATAATATATATATGTTATAGGTAAAACTCAAATCTTTTTTTTATAGTTAAAGGAACACGAAGAAAGAGAAATAATCTAAGTGTGAATAGTTTTTTATTTTACAATACTTTTTAACAAACATAATTTAGCTCTAATTTTATTTAATCTATGTTTAAACATCCACCTCTCTTTGAATGATATTTAGTGGACCAGGAAACATTTTCTCATTATTATTAACTCGAATGATCGCTGTATCCAACTCCATTATTTTTTTACCATGTGTGATCATCTATATACCAACTTATTTTCACAACAACTCCTTAGTGGAATTTTCTTTCTCTTTATTTTGTCTTACTGGATAAGTCACTCATCGTATACAACAGCTATTCTTGGTTCTGACCTGATTTTCTTAGTTGTGAGAATAACTATGTTTAACAGAAGACGAAGAGAAAGAGAAATCGATCAACACCTAAACATTTTACTTCTTTTAACTATAAAAAAAGATTTGAATTTTGCCTACAACATATATTTAAATATAACTAACGAATTATTGAATCATATGGAATTAGATAAAGTCAATAACTATATATATACATAACTATTGAATTATGCAATAAGAATAGGATAAGATAAAATAAAAATAGTATATGTATAACTATCAAATTGTTTGATGAAAATATAATAAAATAAGATACAGTATAGTTATCAAAGAAAATAAAAAATTATTAAAATAGAAGAATTAATAGTAAAATATTATATTTGATTCATT